CGTTTATGCAGAGTAATTGATGAGGTCTTGCGCGTCCTCTAGATACTAAAGGATCTTACTGTTTGATTCGTGATTAAAAGCTATCTCAGGAAGAGAAGAACGTCCTGGGAAACACAGCAGTAAGTATCCAGTTAAACATACAAAGAAGTATTGTTACAGTATTGGTAGTTTTCAGCCCATACGCGGCCAGGAGCCATAATAATGTCGAATTAATGCATATAATAAAATGAAAACTTGTGCATGCAGTAGCTGGAAATTATCATCATGTCAGTCAGTGAGATTTCAAATGCAACCGTCAGCATGTGTTCATTATTTCTTAAGTAACCGGATTTATTGGCGCCGAACGGATAGTTATTGGGATTTCTTATTGGTATAAAGGTAATATTCCACAACTGTCATCCAGGATGCGTCGCGGTGGAAGGTAATGGGTAATTCACGAGGCAGTTGTGGGATATGCGACCAGTAATGTTTGCAGATCATTTGTCATTGTGAGTTGTTAAATATCTACATTCTTTATTCTCATTCAAAAAGTCATATAGAAGTTAAAATGGTAAGAGAAAAAAAGAATAAAACGACAGCAGCACAGAAGAAAGAAAGTAGAGTGCTCAATGAGTGATGTATTATTGTTGTCCTCCCAATAATGTCAACATCTATAATTGTGGCTTGTTGTAAATTATACGTGTAGTGAACTTATAATTTCTATGTAGGGTGGAAAAGAGGGTGTAGGAGTCAGACGCAGGAGTTTATTGTCATCTTTCAGCAGTCTGGTGACTGAGGAGATGAACACTGGAAGTGTGTTTGCAGCACGCACATTAGCTAGCATTCTATTCCAAATGACTGGAAACTTATTTAGGAAGTTGTCGAGCAAGTAAGTCTGACAGTGCTCCACAGCAACTAAGCTGTCATGATTTATAAGATTGTAACTGATGACAGAAGTAAATTTAGCTGCTGTCCTGCAGGAGTGCAAGAGAAGATTAGTTGGCTTGCATTAGAAAATAAGGTTTAGCTTGAGACGTCTTTTCCAAGGTGGTTCTAATCTCAATCTGTCGCAACGCTCAAAGTATTCGAGTCTGGATTCTAAACCAAGAGTTCCTGAGGTAATGTGCCGTTGCACTCCCTCTAATTTAAGCTTATTACTCTGTCAGAGTCGGCTAAGAGTAAACGGACAGTATTCTAAGATAGGTTGGACACATACTTTGTATAATAAAACCCTAGTTTTGCAAGAAAATAAAATGTGAGTTATGCAACCTAGGTGCCTGCGTGTTTTACGTCTGGCATGATCAGTTTGTTCGGAAGTCCTTGAACTACTATTTTAAAAATTTTCTGATTACAGCTTGATTCAACACGTTATTTTTGGTACACGTATGGAATTTTCAGCATGTGATATCGGCAGCTCAAATTTTGCAGGCCAACCATCGATATCAGGTGTACATCGGCAGGGGATCGAACCCCTGACCATGTAAAATGTCGGTGAGTGTCCTGACCGCTTTGCCACCGACTAGAGTATCTGATACCGAAATCCACGACTGAGTTGAGCTTGGCTAAATTTTGCCCGTTGACTTCAAGAGTTGGGTCAAGGTTACTGAACATAAAACAAGAACAAGATACGATGCCGCACACAACAAAGTTGTATGGAGGAATTGACTTCAAGCTTTATTTTTTCCCCAAATATTTGTAATTTATCCGACACATACTCGGGGTTTTTTAATGTGAAGACAATATTTCTATATTTCTTTATGTGCTCCACTGAACGACTAGCTATCAGATTGTACTCACTAACTAATGTCAGACAGGACAGCAACCATGTAATTTCACTATAAATCAAATTCATGTAATTTAAATAATACTTATCCATGCCTGTACAACTGGTGTGTCCTACATAGATAGGAAATATATATATATAAAGTCCAGCCGCATTTGTCAGTGTTAAACTTTAGACAGGATTCAGCACACCATGTTGCGAGACAACTTAGTTCAAGACATATTTGAGAATGAAATCTGCTGACAAGTTCAAAGTTGGTCTCATATACAACTGGAAAGGTCACAATAATGGTGTACTTGCTGGTGACTTTGAAATTATATAGACTTTCGAACACTTTATGAATCATTTGCTGATGACCATTGTTCATTCTGCATTTCTTATGTTTCACTTCAGCGCCTATGCTAAAATACTACTTACCACCCGCTATTAACATTATCATTCATAATTCCCACGCGAAATTGACAATTTAGAGCTGACGCCATATCTTATGACTTATTCGGTCATTTTTTCAATGATTCTCTCACATAAATCTGTGCTCAATCTAACAAATCACAGTACATATCCTACAAGTTCTAATTAGTGTACATATGTTCATGACTGTAAAAATGGCTGGTTTCTGTTCCATAAATAAATTATTATTATAATTTTAAGAAGTAAAAACAGAATATCACACCCACTGTTTTTGAAAATTATTGAAGCAAGGCCATCTGATCCCGTGCTAGTAGAAGGTCTAAGGCTATCAACGGCTCATCATATAAACTGACCAGTCAACATTATGCTTCTGGAAGAGGAGCTGGTAAGGGGTGCGGTTTCACCAGGGGTGTGCGTTCCTAAACTTAAGTTCGCAAACTACTTGCTGAAAAGTTCACAGATGAGGGTAGTTTCATTGTAGATTACTGTGAAGTAAGTAGGATATGTCCCTCGTCAACCGCATTCGTTTTTTAAGAAGTGCTGTTAGGTTACAAACTTTAAAGGTACTTCTATGTGCACTTAAGTCTTCGTCGAGGTCCCTTCGAGAGCGTAGGCGCTTGATAGATTCAAGTAACTCGTCGATTGAGTGTGGAAGTGATATATCCTAGGCGGAATAGTACTGTTTCATCAACTTTCTTAATTTTTTGCGGTATGCCCTTAGAATGTTTCCAGCTTGGTGTCTACTTAATTTCATTACGTTCGTAGGAGAAACAGTATCCATTCAAAAGGTAATATCCCTGTAAAGTAAGGACACTACAGCCTCAGTGTCAGTGGTAAAGTACTCATCCCATTGACAGAGTCGAATGAGTTCTTGGACTGATCCCCAGTCTCTATGTTTGTAACTTCGGCACATCATGTTCCCTGAATGTTGCTTGTTTCCTGTATTCAGTGGCGGGAAAGGCAGAGAACAGAGTACCATTCTATGGTCACTGCTGGAAAATCTGATACCAACATGTCGTCACGACGGTTAGGTGTCTGGACTTGTTGTTGCCATCCATAACAAGTAATTTGTGAAGGCATCGGAGGCCAGAACTACTTAACCGGTTGACGTCTGGAAGATTGAAGTCCACTGTAATTATTTTGTAATCAGTATTAAACGGGGAGGCGTGTGCAAACGATTTAGCTAATAACGCATCAGTTTCTTTGTTTGAGCATGGTGCTCGATAAACACAGCCTATGAGAAGTTTGTACTTATCTCCATATAAGACGATCCAGAGTAAATCACGTACCTCATTCAGTATTTCATTTTTGACCATACTGACTATGAATGAGTTATGTATTTATATGAGACATCCTTCACAACGCTTGCAATCTCTATTTTCACGGTGCATAGTGTAATCATCTCTACCTATATGCACATCAACTATAGAGGATGAGCACCATGATTGGGTTATCAGAACTACAGTAGGCTTGGTAATTAATATTAATTTCTTTAGTTCAGTTATTTTATTGATTATGGGATGTGCACTAGTTAGTAATATCGTGAAATGAGTAACCGGATCCTAGAAACTGGCTCAAAATATCACCATAACCTAGTTCTATTTGTGCGTTAGCACCGGAAGAGTTCGTGAATGATAAGGGGGTACAACTGGGTGTCCATACATTGGAGTTAGAGTGCGACGACGTGATCGCAGGTGCCATGGGTCGTACCAGTGATTCGGGACATCTAAAAAAATTACTGTGTGTTACTGGATATACCGGTAGTGGTGGTTGGGGCTGGGTTGTGGATTAGAAAGCATAGCATTGCAAGGTCTACCCATCACTCTGCTATTTGGCATACTGATACGCGTCCTGGTGTTGTTTTTATAACCAGAAGAATATTGTGCGGGAAGGTGCTTCGGTTGCAAGACTGTGGGGGTTCCGGGGCCCAAGTTTCTATAAGGTGGAGTATGCTGAAAACCACCAAATATACTTGTGTTTTGAGAGGATTTCTTCTTATCAAGTGTGGATTTGTTGACAAGCTTATTCTCAGAAGAATTATTGAATACACAGTATTCTTACCCATCATTAGACTCAATCCTGCGAAATTTGTTCACCGTGATGAGGTTATTACGTTTAGCAGCAGTACCAGCTATTTTTCAGTGGGGCTTTATTTACAGGGACACTGATATATAAATCGGTTTCATTAGCTGGCGTGGTTGTTGTGTAGTTCGCTGAGTGCTCCTGTCAGTACTGGGTGACTTTTACGGTACACGATCCACTTTTGGTAAATTTAAGCCAGAGGAGGTGACCAGATTATTACTACGCATTATTCTGTGCTGACAAGGTGTTTTATCCTGAGCTATGATAACAGACCATCCGACTGTCCCTTATTAGACAAATGTTTTGAGATAGCTTCAGTTGAACAGTTCTGCGTGCAACTAAATATAGGTGGTGTTTTGTCCATCCATCACAGTACAACTGTTTTATAAATATCTAGAATGATTTATTTTTTATTATTTTGTTATAGCTTGATTCCACACAGTATTTTGGTACAAGTATGAAATTTTCAGCATGTGATATCGGTAGCCCAAATTTAGTAGGCCGACCATAGATATCAGGTGTGCGTCGGCGAGGGATCGAACCTCGGACCATGTGCATGGTCGGCGAGATTGACCAGAAGGCCTCAAAGTAATTAAATATTATGAAATCTCATTTCAAACGTTGATTTAATTGTAAGTTGTCTATTTTAGCGAATTTGTTAACGCTACAAAGATTTGTTATAATCCCCTATTTAGATCTTGATAACATAGGTGATGCTTCATGGCGAATTCTTGAATTCACCAAAATGGACGGCATTACTTCATCCCCGTTCTTGAATACTTATACACAAAGCGCTTTATCAACTGAATTACCAAATACTTCACACTTTGAAAATACATCGAAGCATGTCTCGGAGCAGTTCTTGTTCCTTGAAACAAAGTGGGCTCAAGTGTTTACTGGATTGGTTGCTTTCACAGCTATTCTTGTTACCTGTCATCAAGTTAGTAATGTTGGCTAAATTTTATTTATTTTGATAACATTAATACTATATACCAGTATATGACATTGGTCTAAAATACTTTACAGTTTCCCAGTGGTCTTTATGATCTCCATAACTTATGCAGATGTTATACAACACATTGATTGGGGTTGCAGTGATGAATAATAATAAGTTTGCAATGAATTCACATTGTCCCTTTAATAAGAATTTAGAAATATATTGGGATGTACAATACTTTCATTGTTGTATGGTTCCCATTAATCGTGTAGAAAAGTTAGTAGATGGCTTTTTGGTGCAAATCAATGAAGATCATATCAGCACCCAGGTATTTCTGTGTCAGATGCTTAAAGTTTACCAAAACGCCAATTATTTTATGAAAAGTTTCCCGGAAACAAATATATTTTAGGCGAATTTGCCTGAAATATAAAAATATAATGTAGCAAAAATATTCATTCAGACATCTATAAAATATAGTATTTTATGTTCAAACTTGTATGTTTGGTTTTCAAGATTAGTATTACTGTAAGTGAATGTTGGGTAGACTTACACGAAGTAGGAATTTTTGATGTTAGTTATGGTTAAGTCAGCGATGAGGTAGAAAGATGACAGCTCAAATCTTATTTAATAGCCTTTAATATCCGTTGGAAAAGAGCTAACAAAGTGAACGGATGTTCCATTTCCGCTTGATAATGTCTTATAAGACTAGATTTATTACTTTTCATTCCAGTCTCTCATATTTCATGGGTAATTGTAAATGGAAGGAGCTTACAGGATGGGACTTAATGCGTGCGTGTATTTTTGTAGTGATGCAAGGACTTAGAACTAAAGTAATAACATACCTTCAGTGCTATTATATGCACTTAGGACATGACAGAATTGCTTTTGCGTGTTCAATAACGTTTGTAAATGATATTTGTAGTTGTTACCTTGCTACCGTAAGTAAAAATCTTGAATCAAACAACCAAAGTGTGATTTTGTTATATGATTGGACTACACCGACTCCTAGATTAGAAAAAGGAAGTGAAGTGGTAGAGCACGTTAACCACTTCACTTACTTGGGAAGTACCATCAGCCCCAAAGCGGTGATCTCTGACGAAATCTCAGCTCAGATACAGAGGGCTAGTTTCGCATATGCCAGTTTATGCCGTCTCTGGCGTAGACGTGATATCCGACTATCGACCAAAGGGCGTGTGTACTGCTCAACAGTCCGCTCCGTCCTCGTTTATGGCTGTGAGACCTGGCCATTGAGAGCAGAAGACATGAAAAGATTAGCTGTCCTCGATCATAGGTGTCTGCGTTCTATCTCCCGCGGGAAGTGGCATAATAAGGTGAGCAATATTGAGGTTAGGCATCGGTCGAGTGCTAGGTAAGGAGGGGAAATCAGTCGACGAGACTGTGAAATTACATCGACTGTGAGATGGTTAGGACATGTGTTACGTATGCCTAGTCATCGCCTTCCTCGATAATGGGCAATGTTAGCTGATATAGGGTCAGGCTGGAAAAGAGCTATCGGCTGTCAAACCAAATCATGGCACCAGTCAATGAAATCCACAACAGTTAGTCTAAGCCACGTAGGAAGATGTAGACTTCCTGACTGGTTGGGGTCCTCGGGACAGTAAAAACCAATGGTTGGAAATAATTGGTAACCTGGCTCAAAATCGTTCTCAGTGGCTGGCGCAGATGCATCCACTCCTTGTGACTTACGATTTCCAATGAAACTGTTTTCTTCTTCGTTATTACTGTACCTTTGTCTCAAACCTCTATTTACTGTCTATATTATGCATTTCTCCTACTTTCTTCTCTTGCTTTGTGTGCTACATGGAGTGTGGCGACTTGAACTGCCGCACATATGTGCAAAGTTCTATGTCGAAAACCGACAGACAGACAAGTGTGATTTGAGTTTTTAGGGTTGAAGTGTGGTTAGTCTGCCTTGACTTAAAACCAATGGGTTAATGTTTCGAATTTCGGTTCCCTAACTACTGCTTAGGTAGTGTTACAGGCCAATTCAAGCTAATGGCAAATTATAGCACAGTATATAAAATGCGTTTGTCAAGTTACCTGTTTATTTCATTATCATATTAATGTTTTAGTATGTTTTCACTTAGCATTTGATTCAGCTTTGATAAACCCCTTTGACTGACATCACACCTTCTGATTTCTTCCAATAGATATTATTATTATTCCCTTAGGTTCCAAGCAGAACGCAGATCTCCAACAGAACATCTCTATTTCACCTAGTTCTCTGCAGACCTATTTAGCTAGCTTTTGATAACCCACAAGCTCTCATCACCTCCTCCTCCCCCGTGTCACTTTTGGATGCCCGACTCGTCCTTCTCCACTTAGGTTATACCTGAGAGCTTGGCTCTGGATGTCACTCAATGGTCTTATCAGCATGTGTCTGATCTAAATTCATTTCTTTCCGAATACTCACTGGGGGATTGATTCCTGGTTGGTCCGTATTGTAGAGGTTCTTGTTGGTCATCTGATCTTCATTATGAAGCCAGAGAATGTGACATCTGTTGATGAAAGCTTGAAGCCCGTACAAAGTGATTTCGGTGACAAGCCACCTGTGTGAACCATACAGAACAATGGATTTAACATTGGTGTTGAAAACTGGTATCTTGTTCTTTATTCTGATTGCATCGGACTTTCACAGTGATTACAGTTAAGAAAGATGTGTCTTGTTTTTCTCATCCTGCCTTTGACATTCTCATCTGTTCCACATGTAGTTGAAGTGATTCTGTCTAGATAAATGAAAGAAGTTATCTCTTTTAGATTTCTCCCGTTGATAGTGATTAGTGCTGGATTTTGTTGTTGACTGGGTATCTTTATGATCTCTGTCTTGTCTGTGTTCAGTTGAAGTCCTACCTTTGCTGCTTGGCTGTTCTCCAAAATTGTTGGTTTTTACCTGTAGATCTTCGAATTTGTGGAACATTAGACATAAATCTTTCTCGAAGTCTAGATCTTCTAGTATCTGTTAATCAGCCCAGCGTATTCCTGCCTTCTCGTACCCCATACTCTATCGCATGATCCAGTTAATATATAAATAGTGATCTGACATATAAAGTTTCTGTATTTCTTTAGTTATTTGATGGAAAATGTAGATGATATTTGAGAAAACGCCATGCTATAAAACAGTAAGGCCTCGCCGCCAAACGAACACAGAATGTTTTACAGCGATGCATCACTTCAAGTTATCTTTTTTCTCTTAGAAAATTACATAGGATAAGGACATATAAATGTAATGAATGTGGGATAGACACAATTTAGGATGCAGTACAATTTATTGGAAGGCTACGAAATTATTTGAAAATTCATTCCCTGAACTAAGGGTCTCTGACTATGGATTCGTAGTAACCCAAGGACCTCAGCCAGGCAATTTACATTCCCTTTCATAATTTAAAACCAATAGTCCCTGACTTCATATATCAGTGTTATGTTTTGATCTGGCACTTTTTCGAAACTGAATCTGTGTCACTGAATATGCTGCCTGACTAAGACATTGGCCTGGTGTGTGTGATGCATATTTCATTTGCTTTACTCAGTAAAAACTAGTGTTAGTGTAGATCAGTTGTGAAGCATTATTTCAAATTTAACAGAGACGAATTGTATGTTTAGTATCTTCAGACTTTGTCAATGACCTTCAGAATATTACGCCAGTGCTTTCATATGAAGAGACTCTATTGTCTGTGTATTGTAAGCTAACAAACTGTTTCTCTGGCAACAAGCGTTTTTCCATGAGAGATGTCAAAGTCAAACAATGATATTCAGTAGTACATTCATAATAGTGAAAATAAGTATCCCTAGTTGAAACCACTAATCGTTATCATTCTAGAAGAAAGCTTATCATAAGCTCTCACTCAGCAGTTGCTACAATAAACGTCTACAGAAGTAATCAAAAGCCAAACACTATACAAGCAATTCTTTGATTATTCGTTCTGATTAAGTTATCATACTTAATAACTGAGGAAATAAAAACCAGAGATAACTTGATAAGTTTAGGAATGCCAGTTTTAAAGTCTCTAGGATGATTTAAACATACCGACTGATAGGTTTCAACATAGAACTTTGCACAGAAGTGTAGCAGTTTGAGTCGCCACACTCCGTGCGGCACACAAAGGAAGACAAAAGAATGATAATAAGCGTAGATATGTGGGAGAAGGAATAGTCACAAAGAAAAACAATATTACTTAATGGATAAAGCAACGAGTAAATGCCTCTGTGCCAGCCATTGACACCGACGATTTTGAGCCAAATCACCAACAATCTGAAGCCACTGGTCCTTACAATAATGAAGACTCCAACGAAGCATTTGACACCTTCCTAAGTGGCTCAAACTAACTGTTAAAGATTCCATGGACTTATGCCATATTTTGATTTGACTACCACTAGCTCTTTTCCAACCTGATCCTATGTCAGCTAACATTGACCGTCGAGGAAGGCGTTAGCCACGCATTCGTGGCACTCGTCTACCTTAGTCAATGTAGATTCAAAACCTCATCGATTAATCTTCCCTCCCACTTGATTCCTAACCTCAATATTACTGACCTTATTATACCACCACCTAACATAGGAGATAGAACTCAGACACCTGTAGCTAAAGGCACCTAGCCTTTTCATGTCTTCTACCTTCAATGACCATGTCTCACAGTCGTAAAGCAGAACGGAGCGAACTACTTGGTAGTATACAAGTCCTTTGGTCAATAATCGGTCAGATATCACGTCTATGCTACAGATGGAATAAGCTGGCGAATGCCAAATGAGCCTTCTGTATTCGTGCTGAAATTTCGTCAGCGATTGACCCGTTAGGGCTGACACAGCTACCGAAATAAGAGAAAAGGTCAACATACTCTACCATTTCACTCCCTATTTCTAAGCTAGGAGTCAATGTAGTCTAGTCCTGTAGCATCATCTTACATTTGGTGGGAGCGAATCGCATGCGAAACATTCGAAGACCGCTCACTGCTCAAGGTGTTCATAAGATTCTGCATTATGTCACCGTCCTCATCTAGAAAGACTATATCCTCTGCATATTCTAAGTCAACGAGGTTGTTCCCTGAATCTCTCAAGTCAGTTAGGGTTACAACATGAAGGATAAATATAAAGTTTTATCATTTTGTAAGCAGGGAAAAGGATCACCTGGTTTTTTTTAATGTAATGACGAATTAAACTTATGCTTCATTTATTTTTAATTTTCAATGAAACAGATCTACTTACATTTAATTAATTATACATGCCCAAATGAACAAAGATGGGTTGTGCGTATTTTATTCTATGTACCAATTTATGCATTTGAATCATGGCTTAGCTTGTTGTTTCTAAAACATGAAGACTATTATGTCTATTTTGATTCTGTACGAGATTGTTATGAAGGTTAGTTGAATGACTTTTATTATTATTATAAAAGAAGGTCTTTTATTTGTATATTACTCAATCTAAACTCTCAAGTATTGATTTTTGTAGGGAGTGTGTTTGATTGGTTGGAGAATTTCATTATGAGCTGATACATCAGTTAGAGAACCATTGGAAAACCACCACTCGAGTACTGCTAGACAGCTGTTTCGGGAATCTTCAGCAGTACCCATCGACCGTCAGGGGCCCAACCCACGACCTTCTGGTTACAAGGCGAGCTAGCTCATACACCAATAAGCAACTGGTACCCAATCCAATGGTTCATGCATTCTTCGATGAGTTACTGCTTCACCTTCAGATCCTGGGGTAGAACCCCTTCGTCCACTATCTTTCATTGACTGCATCGGTGCTTACCTTTTAGATGACAGCAACCTGGTTATTTGATACAGTGTTCTGAGGTCTCTTTTATTTGAAGCCAGTTCTGTTTCATGAAAAATCCCCACTCAAACATTATTAGAGAGAAGACTAGTAGTTCAGCGAAGAATCTGTTCTCCGCGAATTCATTTTCACAGCTATACAATCAAAAATATTATAAATAGCTATTTTGTTTATATGTATGTACATTAAATTTGTCAAACGAAAATACAATTAGCAAGTGTTTGGTGGAGTTACGTAATTCAAAAGGCGTTCAGAGGAATTGGATGTTAATATAAGAGGGTAGTAACAAAAGTGACGAGTTGTCACAAACGATTGTTAAAGAACTATTCACGTTATTATGTAACTCTTCCTTAACAATCGATTGTGGCAACTCATTGCTCTTGTCACTACCCTCTTATATCAACATCCAATTCCTCTGAACGCCTTTTGAATTGCGTAACTCCACCAAAAACTTATTAATTGCATTTTAGTTAGACAAATTTAATATACACACATCTATACAAAATAACCGTATATACTATTTGTGATTGAATAGCTGTGAAAATGAATTCACGGAAAACAGATTCTTCGCTGAACTACTGGTCTTCTCTCTATTAATGTTCCGTTTCAGTCGCCAGTGTGTCGAAACGCGTCTTTCGTCTATCCTAGCACGCTTTTTCACTCATTGGTTCATTGCCCTGTAGGTTGTATACAGCTTGTCATTTTATTGATTATCTCTACACTGGTTCATCTGCTTCACTATTCTTCTCTCCTCTATTAGCTTCCATGTATCTGTAGAGCACCATTCCCTGTCTGGACACTTCTTTATTCCTAAAAGGGCTATACAGGATCCCCTCAACATCAGTTCCAGTGGGTTCAAGTGTTTCTCCAAGCAGGCTTTCTTGGTAATGCTACGTAATATCTCCAACTTCCGTGTGATGGCCTCAGTGGAGGTGTCTCATCCTTCGTTTTCTGAGAAATGAACTCGAATTTAGGTCTATCTGCAGCCACATTAAAGGCTTTTAACTTAACCCTGAAGGTTCCCTTCTCTAAACAGCAACATAAACATACTCCTACTCTTCTTCCTGAGCTTTGGTCCTTCAGTCTGCCTATCCATTTTCTTTGGATGGAGAGAAGTTTATAGGATTTTTAGTGTGTTCATCTGTTGAAAGCAATGACTCCTTTTGTATATCCTTGTGCTTGTACACGCTGCTTCCAGACACAAAAGAAACGGATGCATAGTATTCTTTGTTCTCATTCAATTCGCCAAGCACCTTAGGCTGGACTCATAACCAGTTGTATTCCAGTGTGGGATTTATATTACCAATTAGAATTTTAACGTCACCATGTGGTATCTTATCCTTTATTCCATTCTATTCCATCGTCATCACAAAAGTTGATAAAGGAAACTCTAAAGTAGTTTTAGATAAACCTGACTATATCAAGGAAGTCACAGAACATATTAAGACGGTTCCATATGAGGAAATTAAGAAGCCTGTAGGTACAGTAATGAATAAGGTTAAAAAATCTACAGTGGATTTAATACGCAGAGTAAAACCATCGTCACTGGGCGAGTCTAAATGGTTTAATTTAATGCCTAAAACTAATAATGCTAGTAGAATATATGGTACTATTAAAATACATAATCCAGGTTACCCTATACGCCCAGTAGTAGATTTCACGAATACACCTACTTATGAATTATCAAAACACTCAGCTCTAATATTATGTCTCATTAGAAATCGTTCAAACTCTAGACTAACTAATTCCTATGAGATGAAAAATAAACTAAATGACATTCAATCAGAGAATGATGATATAACTAGTCGTTACACGAATATACCAATCAATATGGCCTTAGAAGCGGTTAAAAGAGAACTAACTTCTGACCCCAAACTTTCCCACAGGATGAAGGTGCCCATTGAGAAAATTATTTTGGGAATTCAGGTTTGTCTCACGTCTACTGTCTTTAAATTCCAGGGCAAAATATATAAACAAACAGAAGGTGAAGCAATGAGATGGATCACCAATATCCCCAATCGTAGTAGATATTTTTATAGACAGCTGGGAAAATATTGGTCTTAATACACTTAATCCTACTACAAAAATATGGCGGAGATATGTGGATGACACTTTCACTCACAGTGTCCTAAACAGAACATATCTCTCTCTAGCATCTTGACACACAGAAATAAACTCTCTAATAGAGGGAATAAAATTCTCATTTGAATCAGAAAATGAACAAAGAGAGTTAGCTATGTTAGATTGTAAAATCAAACGGACAGAAGAAGGTAGACTGTACACTACCGTTTATAAAAAGTCAACGCATTCTAATAGACATTAAGACTCTCATTCATCTCATCCGTGATCTGTCGGTGAATGCAGGCTTAGTTAAATGTCTAATAAACCGAGCAGTAGCACTAAGTAGCACAAGAAAGGACCTAAATGATGAAATAAAACAGATAGAAGAAGCTTTGGTATCAAATAACTATCCTATAAAATTCATTAGGAAGATCAGAAAACGCCAAAAGCAAAATTAAAATAATGGTGAAACTAGTAATGATAACATAAATGAGAGAATAAAGGGCATCCACTGTTATACCATATAAAGGGGGGACATCTGAGACCCTACGTAGGATTCTAAATAAAGCAGGAATTAGGGTGGCATTTAAACCTACAAGCTCAATCAGCGATGATCTCTGTAGGTAGGTTGAAAGACCCTGTGGGTTGACCCAATTAGACAAAATAATGTAATCTACAAAATACCTTGCAATGACTGTGAGTTGGGTCAGCTACATAGGTCAAACTAGTAGGTCAGGGGTAGTCAGATTGTCGGAACATAAGAATTTAGTGGCTAAGGTAAGAATGGTTGACCCCGAGAAAATAAGTAATTTAGAAAAAAGGTCAACAATTGCAATGTATGCATTAACACACAACCACACAATGAGGTGGGAGAGGGTTAAAATGCTAAAAAGTAATCTAGGTAGGTGGAGAGAGGGAGAGAAATTGATTACTGAATCCTGGTTCATCGAGTCTACACCAAACACATGCAATAAGAATGACTCATCATTCATACCGGAAATATGGAAAATACTACTACCAATCGAGTCAAGCTATGGAAAATAATGGAATTATTTAAAGGAAGATTGAAAGTTGTGTGAGTGGTGTCTTCATATGATTATGAGCTGCAGTAATAAATTTGGGTGCTGCAAACGTGATCATCAGTAAATATTATTGTATAACACTATGAGACTTTTTCTCCAAACGTCATTCTTCCATGAAACAAATAGACTAATCTCTTACGAAACTAAAATCCAATTTTGTTCTGATACAGCTGGTCGCACAACCACCTTATTGCATACCCAATTGATAAAATATCACGTTTCAATGGAAAGATGGTATGCGAAATGATTTGAAGTAGCGATATCCGGGTTATCAGTTTGTCTATTTACTTCCACATATACTATATCCAGTTGTTGTTCAAGTCTTTCTTTTACTCAAGAATTGGTTAGCAGGGATCTGATTGATTGGTTACAGGATTTCATCATGAGCTGACACATCGGTTAGAGAACCATTGGAAAACTAGCAATGGAATAATTCCAGATAGCTGTTTCGTCCCAGGTTGGGACCCTTCAGTGGTACGTACCCAGCCCACCGACAGGGTTCGATCCCTGGACCATTAAGCCACTGGTGTACGAGCTCACCTTGTAACCAGTAGGTCCTGGGTTCGGACCCTGGCAGTCGGGTGGTTGCGTGCTGTCGATGACTCACAAACCAGGTTGAGAAAACACTTGTCCAGCACTCCCTGATGCTTTCTGATGGTTCTCCAACTCACATCAATCCATGGTCGAGCCTGATAAACAAATCAAATCTCTACAAACGAACTCGTGAAAATTTATACAGAACAGTTCACAGGATGTATAGATGCTGGAGGGACGATTTTTAAACTATGGGAACGATTAGTAGGCAAATAGAAAAGGAAACTTTACATAACTTGATGTGAAATTTCATAAGATAGAATTCAACATTGCAGAGAGGAATTCTGATGTAGAATGACGAGTAGGGCAACTGAAATAATACCGGAAAGAATTCAGAGTGCGAATAATAATAATAATTGCTATAATAAGGGAAAGATAAATATATGTTTACCCCTCTACAACCAAGATAAAAATATGGACTGTACATACTTCTTTTGTACACAAAGGTCTGGCTCAAATTCACCAGTGGTCAATACCTCTACTGTCTTTAGATGTTTACAACGAAGAAACCGCAGCAAGTTAGCACGAATCCGATAGATGATCTTAAAATCCTGATCAGTGTTAGTAGAGTGACAGAAGTCGATTTAGTGTTTTAGAATAGGGCGAATGAATTAAGTTCCTTTTCCTGGAGATAGGCACCCAACTATAAAAATTATTTAATTGTCCATTTGATGTACGTTTCCTTTGGATAAGTCTTTTTAGAGATTCGTCATTGCGTCTACTGAGACACACATTAAGAAAATCAGTGCTTGGTTCAAATTCCTTTTCTGTGGTTAATTGCAAAGAAGAATATCAGTTTTTGAATGGAAACAAGGAATCATCAATTATTATGGCTGGGGCCATGAC